TTAGACAAATGCAGCCCATCTTCACATAGTTAAACACACATCTGTTAAGCAAATGCAGCATAAGCAAATGTATTTGACACGTGTTTACACAGTTAAAATAATACCCTACAACAATGACAAGAAGCATGGCTGTGTGCAGGCAGACATGATGCTGGGGAAGGAGCTGAGAGTTTGTTTATTTATTTATTATGCAGTGTTCTGTCTGCATGTATACCTGTATGCAAGAAGGGGGCCCCAGGTCTCATTACAGATGGTTGTGAGCTGTCTGGATCTGGTGCTAGCCCAGACTCTAGATTGTTTTCTCTTGACCAGACCCCAACATAAACTATCTCTTTGGACCGGTATGGAGGCACGGGAATAAAGACACAACTCACATGGTTTTATCAGGAGGGACATTATCAGTGGTCCCTCATGAAATCCTGAGTTCACATCTGAAGAATTTTCTCATTTATTCTCCAAACAGTCTTTATACCAAAACTTAACTGAGGGGAAAATACATTAGCATTCTGTCTCCCAGGTGAATGGCTTTCAGTCAGGTCCACAACTACCTGTCTGCTGTTTATGCTAGCTTCAGGTAGGCTTGAATCAGCATCTCTATCAGGCATCCTCCAAATTACAAAGAAAGGAGCAACAACATCCTGACCTTTGTTAGGTTGCGACAGCCTGTCTGCAGGTCTACGTGACCCCCTCAGTACTGACTATGGCTTTAGAGCCTGGCTGCCACACCATATAGAAATATGGGCCTACAGTGATCCACCGTGTGGTTGCTGGGAATTGAACTCAGGACCTTTGGAAGGGCAGTCAGTGCTCTTAACCTCTGAGCCACCACTCCAGCTCAAGCTGAGAGCTCTTGTAAGGGAGTGTGAGTGTTACAGCTGCGGGGCTGCAAAGATAGTCTGAACCTAGAGCCTCAGCAGGACAGCTCAGCTGGTGTAGGAGGGCCTTCTGTTTGTGTGTTGCTTTCCCTGGTTAATGAATAAAGAAACTGCCTTGGCCTAGTTGATAAGACAGAACTGAATGCTGGGAGGAAGACAGGCGGAGGAGGAGGAGGAGGAGGAGGGAGCCGCCAGAGACAGACATGCCGAATCTTTCCCGGTAAGCCACTGCCACGTGGCAGTATACAGGTTAATAGGAATGTGTTAAATCAAGATGTGAAAGTTAGCCAATAAGAGGCTAGAAATAATGGGCCAAGCAGTGATTTAATTAATACAATTTCTGTGTGGTTATTTTGAGGCTAGGCTAGCCAGGCGGCCAGGACAAACAAGCAGGCCCTCTCTCCAGCAACTCTCAGCCCTGGAGGGAAAGGTGTCCTAACTTGCTGGGAAGCCAGCGACCTGAAGCTGGGGTGCAGTGGGAGATGGTCTCCCCACAGGATATAGCAGTCCGTCTCCTCTCCAGCAGCCCCTGCAGCTGAGCTCTGCTCTGTTCCCCTAAGGGAACGTCCTAGCAGAGCTGTCGGCTTCTGTGGCCCAAGATGTTACTTCTTGCAGAAATGTAGCCATCTTCTCCAGCTCCGGAGAAAAGTTGTTGCTTTTTCTGTCTAGTCTTGTTCACATCTCTAAGGGAACATCTCAATAAGGTTCTTCTGTTCTGTACCTCAAAGGGCAAATGTAGATCTTCTTCAAAAACTGTTTAGAGAAAGAGATTTGGGAAGAAGGAATCCAAGAGAGTGGTTGCCTCTGCCTCCAACAAAGCCACACTTAATCCAACAAGGTCACACCTCTCAATAATGCCAGGCCCTATGAGTGTATGATGCCATTTTAACTCAAAGTACTATAGAAATTAAGCTGTACTTGTGGCAAAGTATACATTAAGGGAAGAGTCCTATAAATGGTGGGCCAAGTCTCAGCTTGTGGCATGGAGGACTAGTTTCCTTCAGCCTCCACCCCAAGTGCCTTTCTTCCTAAAGAAGATAGCAGACAAACCCTTGCTTCTGACCTGTAGGAACAGCCAGCGTGAAGTTAACTGTGAGGATATCCGAGAGCAAAACGTGTATGCAATTCACGCTTATGGAAACAGATGCATATACACGCTTATGTAAACCGATGCACATACATGCATATCCCGTGCTTCTCTCAGATTCACTGATTCACTTGGGGGCCTGGCTGCTTTCTGTGTAATATCCTCTAAGAAATGCAGGCATTTGAGGGGGAGAGCCTGATACATTTCATCCCATGAGAAGCAGGCTCACTTCCCACGTACTTTGGGACTCTTTGTGATCCTGGAATCCCGAGAAGGCCATGGCAACAGCTGTCCTTGGTGCTGGCACCTTTGCCAGTGTCATGGTTGCAGTCTTACCTATCAGCCTTCAGCCAGGACCCTCCCAGCCTTTGCTATAGCATAGAGTGTGAGCATATTGGGCCCGTGGCAGGAGTTACAATTTGACTCTTGGCACTCCTTCCAACATAGACACCCACACCTCCTTTTCCTACCTTCAGTGTGCAGCAGGTGACAGCAAGTGTCATGAAAACAAAGATGAACACGGGGGCACTCCAGGGCACTGTGGTGGTGGGCCGAAGGGGCTCTGAAAAGGGAAAAGAAAGATGAAGGGCCTCGTCCTGCTCAGCGTCTCCAGGGGGCTTTTGCTCTCCCTGGCAATAGGCTCTGTGCCCCCACTCCCTCCTTACCCCATCTCCGGATCAGGGGCTCAGGCAGCCCCTCATGCTGCACATGGCATGTGTATTTCTGCTCCTCCCCAGAAGGCACCACCACAGCTGCCCACTTCTGGAAGGTTCTGTCCCCTGCAGGCCTGGTCTCTACAAACTCCATTTCCTGGATCAGATCCTCCCCATCCAGCTGCCAGGTCAGGGAGATCTCAGCTGGGTAGAAGCCCAGGGCCCAGCACCTCAGGGTGATGTCTCCTTCAGGTTTGGGATGGCGGGTTACTCTTATCTGGGGAGGGTCTGCAGTAAACAGATAGGTAGACGGTGGTGGGCACAGTTTCATGTCTCCAGTGGGAGAGGCAGAAGTGGGAGATGTCCGCAAGTATCTTTGGGATACGTTTAGAGAGTGGAGACCTCAGAGATGTGAGAGGTGACCACATTCCAGGAGATTCATATCCCTGTGCCAGAGGTGCTGTGGGGGGTCCAGATAGACCACCTACATCCCTGTGCTGGAGGGGCCGTGGGGTCCAGATAGACCACCTACATCCCTGTGCCGCTGGGGCCGTGGGGGGTCCAGATAGACCACCTACATCCCTGTGCCAGAGGGGCCGTGGGGGGGTCCAGATAGACCACCTACATCCCTGTGCCAGAGGGGCGTGGGGTCCAGATAGATCACTTACATCCCTGTGCCGGAGGGGCCGTGGGGTCCAGATAGACCATCTACATCCCTGTGCCGGAGGGGCCGTGGGAGCTCTGCACCAGCCACAGAGTGAGATTCACCCCGCTGGCCACGTGGAGGAGGACTGGGCTTGGGGGCGGTTACCAGTGCGGTTGAAGTTCTCTCCTCCCAGGGTCAAGTACTTGTCGAGCCACAGGAGGCACTCCTTCTCCAGGTAGCTCTTTTCTCTCTCCAGCCAGTACTCGTTGTTCTCCCACTTCCGCATGGTGTAGTCAGCGATGAAAGTGGCCGCTCTGTACCGCATGGAGTCTAGATCCAAGGTCAGGTAGTCCCCGCCGTCGTAGCCGTACTGCCAGTGTCCTGTGGAACTTCTGTCATCCCGCATCTCACAGCCGTACGTGAACTGGAGGGTGTGGGGGCCTAGACCCCGCCCCATGGCAAGCATGTCAGTGGCCAGAGAGGACTCCCCGGGCTTCCCTCTCCATTACGGCCCCTGTTGCCCTAGCACTGCCCATGGGCGTTCGCGGTCTAGATCATGTCGTCTGACCACTGATCCCTTCAGTGCTGACAGCTGTGTCGGGGCCAGGCCTGCACTGCTTCAGGTCACGGTAAAGAGCAGAGCCTTGGCTAGGGAGGGAGGACCCAGAGCACAGCCCGCAGGACTCCTGTGCTAGCAGCCCCGAGTCCAGGCGTCCCCTCCTGCGGACAGGAGCACGGAAGGACGCACCGTGCTCAGTGCTTCTCCGTGAGCACTGGCTGGCGGGTGAGGTGGGGGTACACACTTGGAGCCCCGCAAGCGGGAGGTGCTGGCAGGTCATCCTCAGGTAGTGAATTAGAGGCCAGTTTGGACTCCATGAGTCCTTGTCTCAAAAAAAAAAACAAAACAAAAAACCCAACAAACAACAAAAACAAAACAAACTCAGCCAAACCAACCACTGACCAGCAAGAAAACAAGCTTTTATAAGAGCTACAGAATTCTCTAATGAATTTCAAAGTAAGCTGTCACTGAGGCTGCCTGTCTTGCAGTCACAAGACCCCCCCGCCCCCCATGAGTGCTTTCCCAGGGATGCTGCAAGCAAGCACTTTAAGAACAAATGCTCAGTACTGCATGTGAGCTTGTATATCTGTGACCCCAGACAGAGACTGTCACACAGATTGCGTCCCGCCAACCCCTCCAAGCACACACCTGCTCGCCCGCTCTGGGCCCCCGAGCTGTTGTAGTATTGCTCTATGTTTTTCAGGCTCAGCTGGAAAATCTTCATCCGGTTGGTGAAGACCTGAGTCTCATCAGCAAAGTAACTTGGATTTTCCCTCAGCCAGTCAGCAGAGGGCTCTGCCTTCATGTGGATGCTGTCATAGTGGATGAAGGGCTGGCCATCTACGAAGCCAGTGGCAAAAAATGCAGGGATTCCTGGACCCGGGTTACTCACAGCAGAGTACGCGTACAGCAGAGAATGTGATCCTGAGGTGGGAGTCAAGGTTTGGTGTAAGGTGGTGATTGAGGGTCAGGGCGTGAGTGGGCCCCACCAGCCAGGTGAACCAAATTCCACGCTGTACACTAGCGTAATTCTGAGAATTGATGAAGAAGTGTAAGGGGCTGGAGAGATGGCTCAGTGGTTAAGAGCATTGGTCACTCTTATAGAGGCCCTGAGCTCAATTCCCAGCGCCCACATGGCCCCTCAAACCATCTGTACCTCCAGCTCCAGGAGTTCTGACATCTTCTGGCCTCCCAGGGTGCTGTCTGCATGTGGTATGTGTCAGGAAATGCAGGATCTCCCCCCATCCCCGTTGGTTCTTCCCATATTAGAGATGTTTGTTTTAAATTAAAAACTTAGACTACAGAGTAATGGGTTTCATCTTAGTATCTGTGCGTATGGGCCATTATGTTTGGGTACAGGCTTCATTTTGTTTGCTAAGTGCTGGGGATTGAACTCTGGACTCCTATGCACTTGAGAGTTGGTCTCTCACTGATCTTTATCCCAAAACACTTTTTCTTTTTGTAAAGATTATTTTAGGAACTGAGAGATGGCACTTGTTGCTTTTGCAGAGGACCCAAATGTAGTTCCCAGCACCCACATGGCTGCTAACGACCATCTGGAACTCTAGTTCCGGGCGATCTGATGCCGGTGCAGGTACATCACGTCGGTGATGCACAGGCACCCACAGAGGCCAGAAGTGGGTGTCGGATCCCCTGGAAGTGGAGTTGCAGGTGGTTGTGAGCTGCTCCATGTGGGTGCTGGGGACTGAGCTCCTGTCTTTTGCAAGAGCAGTGTGTGCTCTTCACCAGTGAGCCGCCTCTGCAGCGCTGCCGCCAGACTTCTCCCTCGTCGCTCTGCCCTGCGTGCCTGCTCCTTCTCCAGCCCCGCTTTGCTCTCTCTCCTAGTTAAGTCAGTTTCTGCTGCTTGTTTTTTCCGTGTGATCTGCCTCACCGCCTCCTTGACTCCTTCCTTCCCTGTCACAATCTCCCCTTCTGTCTAGTTTTGCAATCCCCTCATAGAAAGGCACTTGCACACAGGTGTATATAATCTCATGTTTATTTTTTTAAATTGGATTTTCAGATATGAGAAAATATATAGTATTTGTCTTTCTGAGGCTTGTGTCTTAGTGTCCTGATTCCAGTTGTATCTGCTTCCCCACAATGCCGTAATTTCATCTTGCTTAAAGATGGCACGAGAGTCCACTAGATGACTGAGTAAGATTCGTTGTATTGTATCAAAGTCTGGGCATCTGAACGGCATTTTCTTTATTCAGTCATCTGGTGATGCACGTTCAGGCAGGATGTCTGGAACAGTGGTGGTTTCCTGATATGGGATTCCCTTGTGTATATGTGTTGGTTAATGAATAAAGAAGCTGTTTTGGCCTGTGATGGGGGGAGCATGGACACGACTAAAGTGAATGCTGGGAGAAAGAAGGCGGAGTCAGTGCCAGAGACAGGCACCAGATGAAACTTCACCTGGTAAGCCACAGCCATGTGGTGATAAACAGATTAACGGAGATGGGTTAGTTTAGGATATAAAAGCTAGCTAAAATATGCGTAAGCCATTGGCCAAACAGTATTGCAAATAATATAGTTTCTGTATGATTATTTCGTGAGTTTGGGTGGCCGGGAAGTGAACAAGCAGCCTCCCCCAACAGTTTCCTAGCCACCCACACCCTGAGGTGTACATACCATAGTTGTTTTGTGTGTGTGTGTTGGGTGGGCAGAGTCTTATCCTACAGCCCCGGGTAGCCTAGAGCTCTGAGCAGTCCCACCTCAGACTCCCGATGCTGGGATTACAGGGTCATGGGTCACAGGGTCACAGGGGAGACACTGCTCTCGGCTCCACTCAGCTTCTTCTGTAGAGAAGAACGCTGATGGGAAGCCAGGCTGCCCCAACTCTAACATTCTAGAACCCGGAGCCGCTGGAGCTCCCTGGAGAGAGAAAGGCTCACCCTTGGAGCCACACCCAGGAGCCCTTTTTTGTCCCAACCTTTCTGTTTCTAATTCTTGTGGTGGGAGGTCTCAACCACAGGACCCGGACAGACACTCTTCCAGCTGAGCTACATTTCCAGCCTCCATTCTCTCCTCTCTTAGGACCCTTACCTCTTCAGCTACTTCAGCTACTGCGTGGTTCCCTATTGGAGCTGCACATGTCCTTTTGTGAACACCTCACTAAAGCATCCGGCATAGTCCTCTCTCTGTCTGTCTGCCTGACTTCCTCTCTCATGCCCCAACTTTCGAATGTTCTTCCCCTTATAAATCTGCTGTATATGGCGTGTTCTCTTGGCGGCATACCTCGGCAGGGTCTGCCACAGGTACCCACTTGGTCACTTTCTACCCTGTCATCACCGGCTAGCACCCAGATGGTGGAAGGAGAGAACTGATCCAAGCGGGCCCGACCTCCACATCTGCACAGATGTTAGCTATAATGTGGGCGATGCATACTTTATAAGTAAACATGAAGTTCAGAACTGCATGGTGGCTCAGCTGTTCAGGGCTCGCACTGCTCTCCCAGATATTCTCTCTCTCTCTCTCTCTCTCTCTCTCTCTCTCTCTCTCTGGTTTTGGTTTTTGAGATAGAAACTCTGTGTTGCTTCGGCTGTCTGTCCCGGAACTCGCTCTGTAAATCAGTCTGACTTTGAACTCACAGAGATCTCCTGGCTCTGCCTCCCAAGTGCTGGGACTACAAGTGTGTGCTGCCACCACCCTGCCTGAGCTTCAATTTAGGACCCAGTGTGGCCTCTAATTTGCCAAGTATCTGGTAGCCTTGAACTCCAGATCTCCCCACCTCCATTTCCCAAGTGCAGCCCTTCTGCAAAATAGTCCGAGGAGGTCGGGGTTGGGGTCATTCCTGCCTTGAATTTGCCCGGTGGAGTAGACACAAACCCCCTTCCCCACAGAACTCACGGGCTCCGCTGTCAGGGAGGCGACTCAGGAACCAGAGGATAAGAGCCCACATGGTGTCAGGCGCAGTCCACCGGAGGAATGGAGGAACGAGGAGGTCACAAACTTCCTGGTTTAACCAGGAAGGTGGGGGTGGGGTAGAGTGTTGGCAACTGAGAAGGGGCGGGCTTTAAGGGTGTGTCTATTTTCAGGGATCCTCGCAAGGCTTCCCACCAGGATGAGGACCTTGTCGCCTGGAGATGTGTCCCCCACAACCACCCCGGCTCTGAGCACCGCAGGCTAGCAGGCTAGTGGCTGCTGCAGTCGGTCCTTTGGTCAGTTTGAGCCCTCACTCTTGCCAGTGTCTCCAGCTTGTTTACTTTTGAGCTGCTTTGACCCCGCCCCCTCCTTGGCTAGGGTCCGCCACTGCTTTCAGAGCAGATAGGCTGGGTGGTGCAGCTCTTCAGCGTCTACTTCTTGGGTAGTTAATAGTCTCTGTCTCTATCTCTCCCTCCCTCCCTCCCTCCTCCTCCTTTCTTTTTCGAGATAGAATTTCTCTAAGTAGTCTATAGACCAGGCTGCCTGGAACTCACAGAGATCCGCCTGCCTCTGCCTCTCCCTCCCAAATGCATCTCCTGGCCCACTTCCTATTCTTATAGAGGGCCCAGGTTCAGGTCCTAGCACCTGCCTGATGGCACACAACCCTTTGTAACTCCAGGGGATCTGGTGCTCCCTTCTGGCCTCCATGGTTACTTCATTTATATGGAGTACATTTGTAGAGTAGGCTAATATACACATAAAACGAAAGCATAATCTGTTGTGCCCAGATTATGACCTGCAAAGAGAGACCACCAGAGCGGCCCAGACTATAATAAGCAAGGTTTAATCAGCATAATACAAACATGTTTGGAACCCCTGTCTCCAAATGACCCCCGTTACAGCGAGGTAGAGGGAGGAGTTATATCTCCTCTGTGGGGTAAGCTTTTAAAAGCACAACACAGAGAAGCTTTCTGAAGCCACTTTGGCACGGGTGTAAGGACTTCTCCTCCCATCCTGCTAGGTCAGCTTTCTCCTTGTTCTTAGAGCAAGGCCACTGTTCCTGAGTTAGGCCATCTTTATCAGCCTGTACCAGGTGGCTGGCTGGACCGAGCTAAGTGACCTTGTGCTCAGAATCTCCTGGGTGGGAGAGGGGAAGGCCACTATCTTCCTGGGAAAACATTCTGCTAGGAAATTTCTTCTCACCCCTTTGAGAATAAGGGGTGAGGGTCCTGCAAAATCTGATCTGAGAGGTGGCACAGTGGTTAAGAGCACCTAAGGACCTGAGTTGGTTCCTAACCCCATGGCAGGTGACTCACAGCTGTCTGTAACTCCGTTCTGGGGGATATGCTCCCCATCTCTGAGGGTTCCATATGCACACACAAGACACCCACATAATCATAAATAAAAAACAAAGCAAAACAATAATCTTTAAAACCATTGCATATGAAGTTGGACTTGGTGCTAATATGCCTTTAATTCCACTACTTCGAAGGCAGAAGCAGGTCTCTGTGAGTTCCAGACCAGCTGGGGCTACACAGTGAGACCCAGGCTCAAAAAAGGGAATTACATAGAGAGGAAATGTGTGTCTTAACACAGTAAAGTGCATGTGGGAAAACTCGTGATCAACATCTTACTGAACGGGAAGAAGACAGTTCAGTTTCCAGAGCAGAGGGACAGCGTAAGGGATTGAACCACGGGGCCTCCATGTAACTGAGCTTCTGGAATGACATGGGTGTGCTGCGTGGGAGGCTGAAGGCAGTCAGGAAGCTGTTCCTCAGACCCCGCACAGGAGAGGGAAAGCAGAGACACGGAACCGCATGCAAGATGGCTGTGCAAAGCAAACCATATGTGGTCATCCTGGTCTCCAGGGCTAAGTAAGGATGGAACTCACAATGTCAATTGCAAATGGTTAAGGAACAAAAATCTGTGGAATTTTAATTTTAATGTCAGCACATAGGGAGGCTGTGCAACAGTCCACAGCAGAGAGAATCGGGCAGCCTCCTGCACCTGGGGGATGCGTGGTGGAGAAAGGACCCTGGGGGTGCCTGGCCTTAGAGACGGCATCTCATGTCATTCTCTGTGCCAAGAGAGTGACCTCATCACTGTAAGGCACAGCGTCCCGGGCGCCTACCTTCTACTTTATATGTCAGCTGCTTTTTCCTTCTCGCCAAGTATATTCATGTTTTTTTTAAAAAATATTTATTTATTTATTTATTATGTATACAAGATTCTGTCTGTGTGTATGTCTGCAAGCCAGAAGACGGCACCAGACCTCATTACAGATGGTTGTGAGCCACCATGTGGTTGCCGGAAATTGAACTCAGGACCTTTGGAAGAGCAGGCAATGCTCTTAACCACTGTGCCATCTCTCCAGCCCTCACGTTTGTTTTTTGAGACTGGGTTTCTCTGTGTAGCCCCTACTGTCCTAGAACTCACTTTGTAGACCAGGCTGGCCTCAAACTCAATGAGATTCACCTGTCTCTGCCTTCCAAGTGCTGAGATTAAAGGCGTGTGCCACCATGCTGGGCACTATTTTCTGTTTCTAAAAGATTTTATTTTTCCTCTTAGAAAAAATATTTTTAATTTGTGTGTGTGTGTGTGTGTGAGAGAGAGAGAGAGAGAGAGAGAGAGACAGAGAGACAGAGAGACAGAGAGACAGCAGGGAGAGAGCATGCATGCCACATGTGGGTGTGTGCCCAAGAATGTGGCATTGAATGCCCTGGAGTGGAGTCACAGGTGATTGCTAGCGGCCTGACGTGGATGC